AGCATAAAATGAATAAACCAGGACTAATCTTGGGCTCGAAGTGCAGGAGAAAGATAGAAACCGAGTCCCGACATTCAGTCCTGGTTCAGTTCTGGTTTAGTCCTGCTTGCAACAAAACAATGTCAAGAGTCGCTTGGGAGCCGAAAGAGCCAGCTGCTTTAGTGAGCCGAGCCGGTTCTCCAAAAAAAAAACAAGAAAAACCTGGAATACCCATCACTAGCAGTGACAGTAACAGTAGCTAGAATGTGATGCAAAAATGCCATTAGGCCAATCTACTCTGTAAATTTGATGTGAAGAGTCAAAATAACAATAAATGTTGCCTAAATAAACCCAATTTAGAATTCCACTAGAGCCAAACCTAAAACCTTTTTTAATCAATTCAAGATTTACAGTGAATTTTTACATCACTAAATATATCGGCGATTATATCGGCTATCGGCAGCCCCAACTCCCATTATATCAGTTTCATATCGGCCACAACAAAATCCATATCGGTCGGGCTCTAATCAATACCTACCCGATACCAGTGTAGGGATGGAAAATGGCACTTTTTTCATTAAAACACAGTGCGCTGTCCTAATTCAATGACGAGACAGTTGTAGTTTACAGGTTTAATGCTCATCTTTTGAATGTAGAGTGAAACTGCAAGAGAAAATACAAAAGTACTATCGGCGATCTCTTAGACAAAGTTTACTCTGAAATGAATCACTGTAGCACCGTATCAGACACGATTTGCGTCCGGACACATTGTTTCTGTGTCCGTTAAGCTTCCCTGTCCACACAGCTTTCCGCATATTTGTTTACGATTTACAGAAATGAAAATTAAAACCACATCACTAATATGCATAAACTGAGCGCTCAAAAAAACAGCTCAATATTGTGCGCTGATGCAATTCAGGTAAAAAAGGCCACGACTCAGTGGAATATGAGTGTTCTTTCTGTGACAGAGGGGTGTTCTGCTGATGGTGAGTCTGTTCTGTGTTTCTATCGTGTTGGAGATGGTTCATGTTAAACTTTTCAGAGATTATACGTCTGCGGGTCGTACACACAGACCGTATATATGAACGGACATATATTTTAGTCTCTTAGCGTTTTGGCGGTGAATTACTTCGCAACGCACAGACCTACATCAGCGTAAGGCAAGGCAAGTTTATTTGTATAGCACAATTCGTACACAAAGTAATTCAAAGTGCTTTACAGAATAAGAAATACATTAAAATCATAATAAAAACAAATCAAAACATAAATAATCATGAAGATTAAAATTTTAAAAAAGAGAGACATAAATTGGAGAGAAGAGTGTGGAATGAAAACCTTTCAGTTATATGCACAGTTAAACAGAAATGTTTTGAGTCTGGATTTAAACAGCGTCACAGAAGAGTCTGTCTCACATGTTCAGACTGTTCCAGGATTTAACTGCATGAACCTGAAACTCTGACTCCCCTTGTTTAGTCGTGACTCTGGGCACCAGCAGGAGGTCGGTCCCTGAGGTCCTCAGAGTGTGAGATGGTTCATATGACACTAACATGTCACAGATGGACTTTGGTGCTTGGCCATGGAGACACTTGTACACAAGTAGAGCTGCTTTAAAGTCTCTGAGGCACAGGAGCCAGTGCAGAGACCTGAGCACAGGACTTATGTGCTCGTACTTCCTAGTTCGAGTAAGGACCCGAGCTGCAGCGTTCTGGATGTTCTGCAGCGTCTCACAGCTCGTTTGGAGAGACACAGTGAGCAGAACATTACAGTAGTCTAACCTACTGGAGACAAACGCATGGATAAGTTTCTCCAAGTCTGCTTTAGACAGTAAACCTTTGATTTTCGCTATGTTTTTAGATGGTAAAAGGCTGCAGATGTTATTGACTTGTTGTGGCGTATCAGCATTCTCAGGCGTCCACACAGTGCCGGATCAGATCAGTACTCAGATGAATTCGTAGGAGCTGGCGGCACCAGATCGTTCCGTCTCTGGACCCGTTTTCAATCGGATTAGTTTGGACCAACACTGCATCCACAACGAAAACAACTCGAATACAAACTAGTGTGGACGGGGCTTAAGTTTGATTTTTAGTGATTCAATTTTGTTGCCAACTTGCGTTCCCATCTCTTTCGCTTATGTCCAAACTTCCGGTTCCACGGACTGGTGTGGAGTACCAAAATAAAAGCTTTCGAGTGGATTTAAAAATAAAATCTGCATTAAAATGAACTAAATAACGCCTGACAGACAGAACACACAGTTAACTTATTACGCAAGAATCCAACTGTGTTATGCAACTGTTATTTATGCTTCAAATAACTACAGAACAGCTTTGTATAAATAAAAGTTCAAACATTATGAGACATTCTAGGATAAAATCTGTCTGTAAATAGACTTATTACATCCAGTTAAAGATATCAAGGAACTGACAGCAGATTTTCCAGTATTGGCGTTGATATTTGATACCAGTATCGATATCGCTGCATCCCTCCCTACTTAATACATAAGTAAAAGTAATTTCATCACTTGAGATTATTGAAGTACCCTTTGAAAAATATACGTGAAGAGTAAAAAGTAAAATAAAGTGTTTCACGCATATTTGAAGTCCTTATAAAACTTCAGCTTCAGATGTTTTGACTTTAAATTCGTGCCTAGTTTTATTCAGAAACTATTGAATTTAAAGTTTTTTTCTAAGGTGTTTTTATTTGTATATTTTTGTTTGCTCAAAGTATGAGCTTGTTAAAATAAAACCCCACAGCTGCTCTCAGATAATAATAAAAGAAATATTTTTACTTTTCAGTCCTGTTTAAAGATGTAATGGAGTAGAAAGTACAAATACCTGCTCTCAAATGTACTAAAGTAAAGTACAGATACCGAAAATGTATACTTAAGTACAGAACTTTACTACTTTTACTTCGTTACGTTCCACAAGTGTCATAGTCTCCTCCCGTCCGGCCACAACCCCTTTGACTCCTCATTATATTATATTATTAAGAATAACAAAAAATATTCCCACTAATTGCTAAGAAAAAAAAAACACAACTATATTATTAGATATTTACTACACTAGAAAAAAGACTGTGCTATTTTTACACTGCAGCAGGTTATGAGTCCTTTTGATTACTTCTGCTTCAAGTGTCTCCTGTTATATTTCTGCTCTCTGTTGCCCTTTCCCTGTCTTTTTTTTTTTTTTTTTAACTCCCACACCTCCTCCTGACCTGCCCCCTCTCCACTTGGCGTCTCACCTTGTGCTTATGCTGCCCCCTACAGCGCCGGAGGTCAACGGGCTGCAGGACCCCAGCGTGGCGAAGAGGCTGCGGGGGACTCCGGAGCGCATCGAGCTGGAGAACTACCGCCTGTCTCTGCAGAAGGAGGAGGAGCTGGAGGAGGTGCCCGAGGAGACGCTGGCAGAACACAACCTGAGCAGTGTCCTGGACAAGGCCACGGCCGCTGATCTGGGCTCCAGGTATGAGCACTATTGTGGGTTATTTTTATGTTCAGATTCTATTACAGAACACATGAGACATCGCAAAGTTCAATGTTGACAATTTATAATACAGATGTGTAACTGTCAGGGAATTCTACCCAAAGGACATCAAAATACACGAATAAAGACCAAAAACGAGACGGTTAATTAATACTTGCGCAAGGAGAGTTAAAGGTTGTATAGAGGATTTTCCAAGGTACGAGAAATCCAGCGACTGTTTGTCCTTTTTCAAATGTTGCGCATGCGTGAAACCACCCCCAACTACAGTGTTGGTTAGGCAAGACGGAGAAGTGAGGAGAGGGGGGAGTGGGTGCGCGGACATTTCGTTCGCGGACGAGAAGTGAGGAGCAGGGAGCAGGGAGAGGAGAGGGAGAGGAGAGAGGAGAGGGGAGTGGTGCGTGGAGATTCCGTGCCCGGAGAAGTGAGGAGCAGGGGGAAGAGTGGATCGGGCAGCGGGGACAGGAGCAGGAAAGGGGTGCAGAGAAGAGTGCGCGGAGATTCAGTGCAAATGAACTAGCTACAACACGCAGCAGCAAGCGGACTCTTTCTTTGCCTTGAAAATTACGTTTTCAGACATAGGATATCGCTTTCGTGTCCTGAAAAACGTTTGACTAGCTCTTGGAAATAAAGTACGTTTTCATAATAAGCAGAAGTTTCCTGTCCAGGAGTAATTTGTCGACCAGTGCGTCAGTCTTTAGACCCTGCGTCTGCTTCAGTCGCGCCATCGCTGGAATGAATCTCCAAGAATCACCTTAGTTTGGCTTCGCTGCTTTTCCCCTTGTCTTCTTCTTTCAGCGACCTCAAAAACGGACTTTCTTTTGCGGCGAACTGCTCCTGGATTCTTGTCGCCATTGCAACAAACTTTGTGCGAACTGCGAGGAAGATATAGGTAAAAAAAAAGCCGCTAAGAACTGTTGCATTGGTGGAGTAAACAGCGTCTGTGCGTCTTGCGTCTGTGGACTGCGTGACAGGTGTACGTAAACTACGTACCGGTGGCGCGCAGGCAAGTCAGTTACGCTAGAAACATTTGAGTTTGATTGACAGCCTGTCAGCTAACAGATAACGAGGCAGTGTCGTTATCTATTGCCAAATGTTTAGCCCCACCACGTCCAGAGTTGATGAATTTTTATTCTCTTTTTTTTGGTCATCATAATTACAAGGCTACTGCACCTCTATAATGCTATCATTGACAACTTGAAACAAAAAAAATCCTCCATACAACCTTTAAGGACTGCCTGCCCCTGGCTACGCTCTGGCCTACTCTGCCCAACAACTCTCCGAACACTCATTTATTCAAAATCATGAAACAGATAAGGTACATTACATGACATCATATCACACGGTGTTTACATGATCACATACTAACAATCTTTTAGTCTAAACCGCCCCCCCATTTCACACTTGATTACATGTTCCAGGTGATAAACAATCAGGTCAGTTTTCTCCCAAACTTCACATGATGGGGAAAGCCCTTAGCTGCTTTTCTCATGGAAGATAAACAGATTATCTTAATGAGTCAAGAACTCCTTAACTAGGTCATGATTGCATATAAGGAAAAACCCAAAAACAATTATTGATAACTTTATTCACACACACACAAATGATTATGTCGTTAAATGATTCATAACACTTAAAATAACATAGAAATTCTCTCACATTAACGTTCCTAGGGCAGTGCCAAAAACTGTAAGATCGCTCGATCGTGATCTCTGCTTTGGTCGATCTCGATGATAAGACAAGAGCATTTTAATCGACAGTTCAGCAGCCAGTCATGTGGCAGTAAGAGCGCGTGGTGCTGACGAGGATTTACGCTCTCTTGTTAATGAAAAAGCAGCCTGAGCCACAGCGCCTCCTTTTGTCTTCTCACGCGTTCACAGGTTTTGACTTAAATCTGCACAATTTGACTAAAAGTCCTGTCTCTCTCCCTTTTCGTCCCATTTATGAGTGAAACTTAAGTCCTGATTCAGCGCACGGACATCGCACGTTTTGTTTCTGCTGCTAATGGTATCATGTGTATGGTTTAATATATTGTTCAGATGCATTCCGAACTTTAAATGTGAATTTCTCCGGAAATATTGGCCCTATTCACACGAAATAAAAACTGTAGTGACCCTGACAGCCTTTATGTCTGAAGTCTGCATGTCTATGTTGTTTTTAATAAGATAGAAGAAGACGGAATCGAAAATTGAAAGAATCTAAGCCCAGCCCTAACTGTACCTGTTTAGAATCTATATTTTTGTCCATTGGAATCAGTAGAATGGTCGAAGTTTCAATTTAGGGAGGTCATAAAGTCATTTTTTTTGTTTAGAGTTGATTAATATTATTATTATTGTATTCCATTTATTAGAAATTCTATAATTTTGCTTCTAAAGTGGTCTTAATTATTTTTCAGTTCTTTTAAAGCAACACCTTGTAACTTTCTAGAGGCCTGGAGAAATAGAAATTTAAAACGTTGTCAAACTGATGTCATCAATATTCTCTGGGGATGTGATGTTAACTGTAGGCACTGCTCTGCCTGAAGCTCTATTAGACTTTAATCTGAGCTTTATTTTAACACAATCTAACCAGAAAGAACTGATTTAGCTGGAACTACAACAGGTGATCTGGTTTGTGCTGTAAAACAAGTCTCTCTCACATAAAATTAGTAGCCAACAGTTTTCTCTCACCATTTTTGTTGGAAATTAAACTCCTAAACATGACCACGGACGCTTGTACTGATCACACGCTCCTGAAAATATGTTTTTTAAATCAATTTTGTATTTTTTCTTGAATTTTCAGACGATCTTAAATATTTTTGTCTTTTTTTTCGCTGATGTGTGCATTGTGTCTCCATGGTAACTCCTGAACATTCTAACATAGCGATGCATGTAGAACACCCCCACCGAGATGTCACTGCAGAGTATCAATACTAAAATTGCAAACTTTGATTTTAATAACTAAGAAATAGGTTTGATATGTCCAGGTGGATTTGTAACTTGAATCATTGACTGACTGAATATTTTTAGCCTCCTTTAACAGTGACAGTCCCAGTTTCAGAAATAGATTTATGATTCATCTTTCTCATAAACTTCCTAAAAAAATAAATATATTCAGAAGTTGAAATCTTGCTCAGACATAATCAGATATGTGGTGACTAAAGATCATAAGACGTATCATCTTAAATTAAATCTGTTTCTGAAACTTTATAAACCGCTTTATAAAGTTATTTAAAGCATTTTGCAGAATCTTGCATTTTAAATGTGTTTTTTGGAATTAAAACCACTGGATTATGGATATTAGTTAGCACGCAGCTGGTGAGCCTCTGTGATGTCTTTGAACTCTAAAAGTCAATGAATGGAAAATTTACTTCCAGAACCGGAGTGGGCAGTCGCTTTTGAACTCCAATCAAATCAAATCCACTTTATTCATACAGCACATTTTATAAACAGGACAGTTTCCAGTTTTAAGTGCCACACAGACAAATTAATACAATAAAAGACAGTAAATCATAAATAAAAACAATAAATAAAACTGTTAAAATGCATTGTTGTAGAAAAAATTATATATCTCTTGACAGTGTTGGTAAGGTGACTTTTAAAATGTAATCCCCTACAGATTACAGATTACATACACCAAAATGTAGTTTGTAACGTAATCCATTAAATTACTTAAAGTGAGTAATGTAATCTGAATATTTTGGATTACTTGATTTGCTGTAGAGAAACAAAGACGAGGAAATCATAACATAAGAAGTTTTGTTTGCTAAAAGAAAATAAAAAGACCAGATTTTACTTTTATTATTATTAAATATATTATAGATAGAAGAGGAGGAGACACGGTCCACACGGCATGGTTTAGTCCTGTTAAATCCTGTTTCAGTCCTGTTTTAGTCCTGGTTTAGTCCTGTTAAATCCTGTTTCAGTCCTGTTTTAGTCCTGGTTTAGACCTGGTTTAGACCTGGTTTAGTCCTGGTTTAGACCTGGTTTAGTCCTGGTTTAGTCCTGGTTTAGACCCTGGTTTAGACCTGGTTTAGTCCTGGTTTAGACCTGGTTTAGACCTGGTTTAGTCCTGGTTTAGACCTGGTTTAGACCTGGTTTAGACCTGGTTTAGTCCTGGTTTAGACCTGGTTTAGACCTGGTTTAGTCCTGGTTTAGTCCTGGTTTTGACTTGGTTTAGACCTGGTTTAGACCTGGTTTAGACCTGGTTTAGTCCTGGTTTAGACCTGGTTTAGACCTGGTTTAGACCTGGTTTAGTTTAGACCTGGTTTAGTTTTAGTCCTGGTTTAGACCTGGTTTAGTCCTGGTTTAGTCCTGGTTTAGTCCTGGTTTAGACCTGGTTTAGTCCTGGTTTAGACCTGGTTTAGACCTGGTTTAGTCCTGGTTTAGTCCTGGTTTAGACCTGGTTTAGACCTGGTTTAGTCCTGGTTTAGTCCTGGTTTAGACCTGGTTTAGACCTGGTTTAGTCCTGGTTTAGTCCTGGTTTTAGTCCTGGTTTAGACCTGGTTTAGTCCTGGTTTAATCCTGGTTTAGTCCTGGTTTAGACCTGGTTTAGTTCCTGTTTAGACCTGGTTTAACCTGGTTTAGTCCTGGTTTAGACCTGGTTTAGTCCTGGTTTAGACCTGGTTTAGTCCTGGTTTAGTGGTTAGACCTGGTTTAGACCTGGTTTAGTGGTTTAGTCCTGGTTTAGACCTGGTTAGACCTGGTTTAGACCTTTTTAGACCTGATTTAGACCTGGTTTAGTCTTGGTTTAACCTGGTTAGACCTGGTTTAGTCCTGGTTTAGTCCTGGTTTAGACCTGGTTTAGACCTGGTTTTAGTCCTGGTTTAAACCCAAAATGTGAAAACAGGAAAATCCCGCCGTGTAATCCATTTATTTCAACAAAGTAACTGTAATCCAATTACCACTCACTGAACAGTAACTGTAACTGAATACAGTTACTCATAATTTGTACTCTGATTACGTACTCTGGTACATGTAATCTATTACTCCCCAACACTGTCTCTTGATGATAAATAATGATAAATATAAAATAATAAACCAGGACTAAAACAGGATTTAACAGACTAAAGCAGACTAAACCAGGTCTAAACCAGGACTAAACCAGACTAAACCAGGTCTAAACCAGGTCTAAACCAGGACTAAACCAGGACTAAAACAGGTAAAAGGACTAAAACAGGATTTAACAGGACTAAAGCAGGACTAAACCAGGTCTAAACCAGGACTAAACCAGGACTGAACCAGGACTAAACCAGGACTAAAAAAGGATTTAACAGGACTAAAGCAGGACTAAACCAGGTTAAACCAGGACTTAAACCAGAAACCAGGACTAAACCAGGACTGAAAGGACTAAACAGGACTAAAAAAGTATTTAACAGGTAAAGCAGGACTAAACCAGGATAAGTCAGGAATAACCACGACTTAAACCAGGACTAAAACAGGATTTAACAGGACTAAAGCAGGACTTAAAGGGTCTAAACCAGGTCTAAAACCGGGTTAAACCAGGACTAAACCAGACACTAAAAACAGTTTAACAGACTAAGCAGACTAAAGCAGTTAAACAGGTCTAAACCAGGTCTAAAGGTTTAGTAAAGGGGACTAAACCAGGTTAAAAGGACTAAACAGGACTAAACCAGGACTAAACCAGGACTAAACCATGCTACTCGGATGTGTCTCCTCTTCTATCAATAATATTTTTTAATTTGGTTCAGTAAAGTCTTGTTTTTAAATTTTCTTTTAGCAGACAAAACATCTTATGTTACGATTTCCTCGTCTTTGCTTCTCTACAGCAAATCAAGTAATCCAAAGTATTCAGATTACATTACTCACTTTAAGTAATTTAATGGATTAAATTACAAACTACATTTTGGTATGTGTAATCTGTAATCTGTAGGGGAATACATTTTAAAAGTCACCTTCCCAACACTGAAGATATGCAAGGCAAGTTTATTTGTACAGCACAATGTACACAAGTAATTCAAAGTGCTTTACATAATAAGAAATACATTAAAATCATAATAAAAACAAATCAAAACATAAATAATCATAAAGATTAAAATGAAAATGAAAAAAGAGAGACATAAATTAGAGAGAAGAGTGCGGAATGAAAACCTAATAAACTAAAAAATCACTATTTTAATCTAATCAATCATAATCAGTATTTTCCTGTGGGGGTCATTTACACAAAGACAAACTGAGAGAAATATTTCCACAATGTAAATTTCCATGACAGCATGAAGCTAAAAACTGATAAAAACATGAATTAAAAATAAATAAATACGATTAATAAAATGAAATAAAAGACAAGAGGACCACACAACTCGCGCGGTGTTAAAAGCCACAGAGTAAAAGTGGGTCTTAAAACAAAACTTAAAACACTCCACTGTTTGGACTTGGGTTCAAACTCCTTAGTTAATTAAATACTTAATACTTGAATTAAATACTTTACACATAACATATTTAGACCGTTGTGTTACCTTGGAAATTCTACATTCATTCATCAGAAACGACGTATTAAGAAAAATTCCCTCGCTCTCTGTCACTCCCCGCTCTGACTTCCATCACAACACAATCGCGCTCATCCATTTTGTGAACTTGTTTCTTTTGTTTTGTGTCATGATTTTGTGTATTTATGAAAACAGTCCTCACAGGAGCGCCGCAGAGAACTTCCTGGTTACATAATCGTGTGGGCCGAGCTTTATACAAGAGGCATGGGCTCGTCCTGCTGAGCATAAAGAGGGTTTGAATAAGGCCACGGAGAGATCGCGAGATTACTCAAACCTGCTGGAATGACATGTAAAACTTCTCCAGACATGTTCTGATGATGGAACAACGTTATAAAAAGATTAAAAAGAATTGATTTTGCATAATACCCTGTCTTCATTTGATAAAGAGAAAACGTGGAAACACTTCTGAACACCGTCTCAGCTGTTACAGAAAATGTTCTGGTTTAATTGCAATATGTTTTTTGGCACTGAGTAATCTTTTAAAGAACACATGTTGTGCTTGAGCCTGTCATAGTGTAATGGATCCTTGTGTTATAATTTGCACATTTTAAATCGCAATATTCACTCTAAAAGAAACAAGTCCGCTACAAATACGGAGCCCAGTGGAAACCAACATCGCTGTAAACGTCAACAAAACAAAGAGTCGTGATCTTATGTGGATAGCTGCAGATCACACTAACAAACGTCTGATTTTTTCTTCATTTGAACTGTATTTTTCGGACTATAAGTTGCTTCGAAATATAAGTCACACCAGCTAAAAAAATGCATAATGAAGAAGAAAAAAACATGTATAAGGCGCACTTTTTGGGGGAAATTTATTTTATAAAATCAGAGACCAGGAACCAACCATCTTCATCTTGAAAGTCAAGTTCTTGTAATAACAACAGAACAGAGAACAACAGACTGTTAACGTCACATATGAACAGTTCTTCAGATAAACTATAAACAACAGAACAGAGCAGGTTTACCAAACTCTTCATCTCACTCCAAATCACTAAATCCATTCAATTCTTCATCCTCGGTGTCACTTCTGAGCAACTTTACAAACTCCGGAGGTAAACAGAGCGTCGCTTCCTCTTCTGTGTCGCTGTTGTCAGACTCGGCATCAGTTCCAGTTAGAATTATTTCAGCCTTTCTGAATCCCGACAGGATGGTTTCGGTGTCACTGAAGTCCAGGCTTTGTCGATCAATCCAGTGACATCCAGGAAAGCTGCATGGTGCATCCTCCCGGTGTCACAAGTTTCTCTCTCACTCCTGCTTCTCTTAAAAGAGAAGTTTTGTGTTGTTTTCTGTAAATAGTTCTGCCATCTTGTATCCTGTTCTATATGTTAATAGGGTTTGGCAAAACAAGTGTTAAACTTCAGCCTAAACCCCTTCGGTCGATAGAATAACCTTATTGATATGCATTAACTGCATAATTTGTTTTTTTTGGTAAATCATTGTTATATGATGTATGATTATGTCAATTGACCGAAGAAAATAAACTATTACTAGTACTACACTCCAAAGTTTCTTTCTGCAGCTGGATTACTGTTTTCACTACTTGCATCTTGTAATCTGTAAAATATGATTTTCTTTTTTGGGGGCATTTGTGTTCAGCTTTCTCAGTCGTCTTTATAAGTTTGTTTAAATTGGTACAGAAGTAATAGTGCGACTGACATGATACAGACAGGACAGAGGCTCTTTCTGCAGGAGACATGCGCAGTAGAGCCAAGTGACAGTGGTACAGGAGGAACAGGAGCAGCAGATACTGACAAACAAGACTAGAGCCTCTTGCAGCTGTCAGTGTGAAAATGTTAATATATAAATCGCAGGAAACACCCAAACCTTGAAAAAAAGGTTTTGACTTATAGCCCGAAAATGACTGTACCAAAATGACTGTGTGACGCTGCTGAATCCTACGTGTATCACAGATTAAGAAAACAAAATTGGAGAACGGAGTAAATACAGAGCAGTGGGCGTGTGCCGGTGGCGGCGGTGAAAACAGGGGTTGATCTGCAATATGGCGCCTTGAAAATAAACTTTATTTGCACGCATGAGTCACCCCCAAATACAAATGTAGGTGAGTAAATATTGAGGGGGACGCTGTAGGTCTTCTTTAACATGGCAAAATAATGCACTGTTTTCTATTTAAATCGCAAATCTATAATAACCAGCTCAAATTATTGCATAACTTAAAATAATGTTTAAATCTTCTATTGTATTCTTGTCCGTGATTGACATAAAAAGTTAGTTCCAGCCCACACACGACTAAAAGGCACACGGAGCTCATTTGTGTTCTGACGTTTGACTGTCTGAGAACGGCTCATTTTCCTCCCACGTGTTTTGACTCCTCCGTTCTGGTCCTGTGCCTCTCAACAGCAGCTCCGAGTCTGACATGGAGGAAGAGGACGAGGAGGAGGCGGAGGAGTGCGAGGGGGAGCTACCGCCTCACAGCCCCACCGACCTGGGCGGCGTTCCCTGGAAAGAGGCCGTGGAGCTCCATGCCAAACTGCGGGGCGATGCCAGCGAGGACGGGGAGGCCCAGGACGCCGTGAGCAGAGACGGAGAGATAGACGAGGAGGAGGAGGAAGAAGAAGAGGAGGATGAAGAAGAGGAGGAGGAGGAGTCGAGTGAAGGTAGTTTAATCTCGTGTATTGTGTTTACTTTTGTGTCTGTTGATACTTTGCAGATGATGTTATCGATTTTCCCTGGGGGTGTGAAGCTAAATGTGGGCACTGCTCTGTCTGAATGCTCTGTTACACAACTTTAATCCGAGCTTTTGTTTTATAGTCAGTCTCACCCTTTTGTTGAAATTCAAACGCCTAAACAGGATCATGAACTTTTCTATTGCTATTTTCACATGGCCCTGAAAATGAGCTTTTTAAATCCATTTTGTATTTTTCAGACTATTGTATTTTCCGGACTATAAGTCGCTCCGGAGGATAAGTCGCACCAGCCAAAAAAATGTGTAATGAAGAAGAAAAAAACATATAAGTCGCATTTTTGGGGGGAGATTTGTTTTATAAAATGAGAGGCCAAGAACAGACAAAGGCAAGTTATAGTAATATCAGTACAACAGAAAACAACAGGCTGAACAGGCGACTGATACGTGTAAAACCCCCAGTGGTGCAGGTAGAATCTAGCCAGTCGGCGCCACCTAGTGCCTCCGCTCAATTTCATTTCTCTCCAGCGACTAGGTCAGGAATCAGAATACACTAGACCAGGCATGTCCAAACTATGGCCCGGGGGTCAAATGCGGCCCTCAGACAAATTTTCCTTGGCCCTCAGACTTCCAGGTGAATTGGCCCAAATTACCTTGCATCAATTAAAAAATATTTTTTTACTGCAAGTTTTAGTGTGTGGTTTTAAGGATCTTAGCATGAATAAAGACCGATGGCTCATTCTAATGTGTTAAACATGCACATATTTCAATTATTCACTGTACTGAGCATCAGTCTACAGCCCTCAGTCGGCCCTCTGCTTCGTCTGTGTTTAGATATGTGACCCTTGATCAAAAAAGTTTGGACGCCCCTGCACTAGACAGTTCGCAAAAACCCCAGAAGTGCGAGTTCGGGCACCAGCCAATCAACGAAGAGCTATATATTCTGTGTTGTCAACGATTCCTGAGATCGAGGATTTAAAGCCGGAACAAAGAGAATGTTTGGTGAATTTTATCAAGGGGAAAGACGTTACTGTCCTTCTTCCTATGGGATTTAAGAAAAGCTTAATATACCAGGTGCATTACATACTTCACGACCAAACAGCAGCGACTGGTTAAATGATAAAAAGTACAGACCTACCGTCGAGCAAACGAATTCTAAGGGGTCAGACGGTTTCTACGAAGTGAAACCGGCTGATGAATCAGGCGAGGTAGAATCCATGGCAAAGGAGAAATTCAATTTGTCAACTGGACAAAATTTTATTTGGTCGAATATATTTCACAGCTCATCCAGGCTGCTGCTTCAGTTCTGGACAGATGCTGGTGGACACTGCCTTATATCTGTCTGCAGGGAGGAGATAAATAACTACTCTGAAACTAACACCCTACTTGGTTACAGTTTCTGTCAGTGAGCTCGGCCTATTGAACTGCCCTGAGTGTGGGGTCCTATTAGCGTAACCATTCAGGGCCAAAGTGGAGCTTTCACACCTCTGGACCTGACCTGCTACAGCTATTGTTCTCTTGTTTTTGATTTAGGTTTGAGGATGGAGTTGTAAATAGGAGATAGATGGTGTTTTAGTTCTCCATTTCTGTTTAGAAACAGAAACGGAGGCAGCAGGCGTCTGTTATGTTAACGTCACATATGAACAGTTCTTCAGATAACTATAGCATAAACAGCAGAACAAGTTTAACAAACTCTCACTCCAAATCAATAAATCCATTCAATTCTTCATCCTCAGTGTCACTTTTGAGCAACTTCACCAACTCCAGCTAGACCTAGATCTTTTTTTTTTTGCATTGCAGTTTTCGCCAGTCACTCACAAGTTTCTCGCTCACTCTAAACTTTCTTTCTGCTGCTCGATTACTGTTTTCGGCTGCAGATTTCACTACTTCTAACTTCTAAAGAAGATGATTAACAGTTTATTCGTACGTGTTAAATGCAGGTGGGTGTGTAAATGACAAGAAAAAATGTCTCAAACTCCAGTAGACGGACATCCACTCGTACCTGCTAGTCTAGCCCATGGGAGAGCCTGAAATCTGCTGAAATTCTACAAGACACTGACATGATACAGACAGGACAGAGGCTCTTTCTGCAGCTGACGTGCAGTAGAACGCAAAGTGACAGTGGCACAGGAGTAACAGGAGCAGCAGATACTAACACACAAGCCTAGAGCGCCCTATCGAGGCTATCAGTGTGAAAATAAGGAACATGTGAAATTATATGTAAGTAGCGCCAGAGTATAAGTCACAGAAACAACCAAACCATGAAAAAAAGTGTGACTTATAGTCTGAAAATTACGGTATTTTAAAACTGTTTGGCAGGGTTTGCTGTGTCTGAACATTCAGCCATAGAGATGCACGTGGAACACCCCCAGCTTGACATCAGTGCAAAGTATCAACATGTGTGGCTATGTCTTCTCCAACTTCATCTTCTGTTTTCACTTCATTGTAATTCATCTTCTTCTCCTCCTCTTCGTCTCCTCCTCACGTGATCACCGTCTACTGTGTGTACCTTTTCTGTTGTTTGTGGCCTCTGTCTCCCCCTGCTGTCAGAGGGCGATTACAGCCCCTGGGACAGAGAGCTCCAGTCAGGGCTTTGGCTGGAGAAGTACCTGAAAGACGAAGACGATACTGGTACTTTTAAAGGTAGCGGCAGACCGGCCTGTTGGTGTGTTTTTTTGCAGTTCAAGTGTGATTTCAGCCTTGGTTTTTCCTTTGTAAATCATACTTCAAACAGAGTTGCTTTTGACTTTTGTTTGGCCTCATATTCAAAGCGCTGTGTTTCAGAGTGTGCTTTAATTCTACCGCGTTGTCTAATGCCTTCTGTAAGCTCAAGACATTAGGATCTAATTGGCTAAATACCATAGCGATTTGTGTTTTCTTGTAGCGCTGCCTTGGTAATGAGCACAGTGTCGTTTAAATAATTACGCTTGTTTCTAACCTTTTTTGTTTAACTTACTTTTAGCAGTTTTGTGCATGCAGCCTCCACTAAACCTTTTCAAAATGTTTCTCTCTGTCATGTTCTAACAGTCTTTCATTTTCCGCCCTTTCCCTCTCCCTCTCTTCCAACTCTCCTCTTTTGTCTTTTCTCTATCCTGCAATGACCTTCCGTCTCGCACAACACCGAAAAAAAAACCCCCAACAACACGTAGCCAGGAACCTTCAGATACAACAAGTCCTGGAGCCGGTGGACCCACAAGCCCTGCCCGCTGTGGGGGGCGCTCACCCGGACTCTGGGGGAGATAAGGAGGGCCCGCCAGTCTCGCCAACCCAACCCTCCCACCCCTCCCACCCCTCAGAGCTCACACAGCCCTCCCCGACAGGTAACACCCATGCTCCATCCGTAGGAACAGAAGAGCACGGCTGCGTTTTTGAGCACAAGGATTTAACCCAGCTACTTCCCCAAACAGTTCTGGTGTAAAGGAACTAGATTATGACGGATAAATGATTTTTTTCATGCTTAAAAAGTAAAATTCTGTTCAGAGTTCACATTGTAAATAATACCAGGAGGATCCACATCTGAGAGAAGATTGAAACATGAACTGGGAAAAAAAAAAAAAACGATTAAACTGATAAATTGAATTTCAAGTTCAAATCAAACTTCTATTTGTATTGCGAAGAAGTAAATGGTAGTTAGAACGCTCGCTGGATCACGGCTGAAGTGAAATAAAATAATAATCAGGTGCTCTTCAGAGATCCCAAGTGGGCAAATGACTTACTGGATGAAAAAAGGAAATATGAGGCACTCCGATATACTTTGCTATGATTTTATTTCATGTCAAACTTCCAACACGTTTTGACTTACGTCTTCACCAGGGAACATAACATTCACAGGTGTGTGTTGTAGGGCTGGGTATCATTAAGGAGTTGCCGATACGATACAGCACACTTTCGATTCGATATGATATATTTCAAATCGATTCGATACGGTTCAATAAAAAAATAAAGGCTAAATCATGGCTGTGATACTAAAAGTTTTTGTTAAACCACTTCTTGTGAAAAGTTCATATGAAACACAAACATTTTAATCCTCAAAACAGTAAAAATGTCAAATGTGTCGCATAAATGAGCTTCCTTTCACTCCACAAGCAACAAAACTGTAGCACTGTAACAAAATAATTTAGGAAAACACACCTAAAAATACTCTTGGTGAAATATCGATACAGTAGCCCACGATATCGATACTGTATCATCACATTAAACAATACGATATATCGATATTTCGATATTTTTGCACACCCCTAGTGTGTTGGAGGTATTTAAATGTACAAGTCACATGATAAAACCGTGTAAATTTTAGACATTTTAAACATACATATTTAAAAAAGGACAAATCGATGCATCACAATAATATGAGCTTGCACCAGTCTGGACACAGGTCACCCGTAACTTCTGCTCTGTGGTGAGTGGCGCACGCTCATACATCGAAAATCCAGCAGGACACATTTACAGAAGAATTATACACCAGTGAATATTATACACAAGTACAATGACACAGACACTGGCAGAAGCTGCAAATACGAAAAAACTGCAGTCCGAGTGTTACAGATAAAGTGAGAGGTTAAAAATCAAATAGCGATTTTTTTTCATGCTTAAAAAGTAGGATTCTGTTCAGAGTGCACAATGTAAACAATACCAGGAGGATCCACATCTGACAGAAGACATAAATATGAGCTAGTACTGGTAACGATTTAACTGATAAATTGAATTTCAAGTTCAAACCAAACTTCAATTTGTACTTTCTCCTCTTTCTTGTGTTGGAAATTGTACTGAAAATGCAAGAAAGGCAAAAAACACTGTCAGAGTGCAGATGCATGTTTAATGTAATAGTTTGTCTTTATTTTATCTAAATAAAGTGTCACTGGTTTATTTCAGAAAATCTCCCAAAATTGCACACTGAATGAATTGGTTCTGACTTGTTCTGATAGACGGGAACATAGCTTTTGGAAAGGAAAGGAAAGGTACTTTTATCTTCCC